AACAATTATCTGTGAATCCAGAGCTGCTGCAAGCACTAATCAAACACTAAAATTTTATACGGGTAAACATCAGTGACAAAGTCATCTTCCTTCTGCATCTGGTTTAAAACTTTTGCAGTCCAACGGTACTTGTACAGGCATTAATAAAAACACAGTTTTTAATGGCAGCAAAACACTTCCATAGCGAGCTCCCTATGGTTTTTTGGTGCCATCAATTTTCCCCTTCAGGTGAGCATCCTGATGAGTCACTGCCCACATTTCTGTGTTTTACTGGTTTTGATTTGTGCTTTACTGAGGTTTGGTTTTGTTTGGGTTCTTTTCTTTATGAAAAAGGGTATTTTTAATTTATTACTTTTGCTCCATTTTTAAAATCTCGTTTCCTGATTTCTCCTATATTTAATAGCAATTATAAGCTTTATCTTTACTTGGTATTATCTCTTCATCATGCTTGTAGGGTTTTTTTCTTGTATCTCCATGTCTCCTAATCAGACTTCTGATTATATTGAACATTGAACCAAATTATAGCAAAACTTTAAACTATAGGTTAGCCCTATGCTACATTTTTCTTTGTTCTATGTTTTCTGGTATCCATATTAGCAATGGCAAACTTTCATAATGTTAGCTCTCGTAGTTGTTACTTGTTATTTGTTGGAAATTTGTTTCTTAAACTGTATCCTTATAATTTTAGCACAAAACTCATTATATACCTTTTTTTGCCACCAAGGCAGTATTTTTTCACAGCACAAGCACAGTGTTTTATTACATTCAAAAGGCATATGAATTCCCTTTCTCCTATAGTTAATGAGCCCTCAGGTGAAATACACTTAACTTGGGTCTAATCAGTGCCTATTTGTTCTTGCTTCCAGCAATGAGGTCAGGAACTTTTGGACTTCCCCTGGCACAGAGAAAGCATGGGTTTGACTTACTTGTTACATATTTAGAGTTGTTGAGAACTCTGGAGCATAGTGCTCCTATGGAGATGTTTGCAGATTTGTGTTAATAAAGTCCCCTTGGTTGTGCTCCACTGTTGTCTCTTTTGATGTCCAGAAAACTAATCACTATCATAACATAACTCTGCTATGCCTGGATGACTTCATTTACTGCATCCTCAAACCCTGACACTTTCTGAATTTTATTTGACTATAATAATGCAAAGTTTTAGGCATCTGCTTGTCAAAGGAGTTGCATGTCTGTGGCCACACTTTCAAACTCTGGTATTGTCCTCACACTCTTGTTTTTCAGTTCTATCCATCAGGTCACAGACTTCCCCTTGCTTGTTCCCTCTCTGTCCCCATGACTCTTGCATAATTGGTTTTACATTGGCCCACTTTCAGTTGGAGATGAGGAAGGTATCCCTTGCTAACACTGTAAAATAGCCAATTTGCAGGTAGGAAGAATGTTCTCATTGAAGGTTGGAGGTGGATGTTTGAATCTCCTCAGCTGGAGCAGAATTTAACCTAAATTCCTTCACTCTGAGAACATTCTCATCACAAGCTTTTGCTGCTTTGTCCTGTTCTTTCCCATGCCCCTTGTGCATTTTTAAGCATAGGAAGTATTACTGTCTTTGTACCTTGTTCAGAGAGTTCAGTGACTACAGACCTCAAAGAACTCCTTAAATACAAAAGAGCCAGAGTTTTGGATGTTTCCACTTGCACTGCCTATTGCCTAGTTTAAGTTCCCTCCCATTGCTATGTTTGTTGGCTTAACTCTCTTTAGCCCCTGTACAGAAATCTCAAGCACATGACTTTTACTTTTTCACTCTAATCCCACAGCTGAGAACCCAGTTTTTAGTCCAAGCACCAAGAACCCTAGCTCTTTTTGGAATCTATCCCGTAAGTCTAGCATGTTTTTGTCCTGGATTCCTGAATCTGAAGCCTTAGAACCATTTCCTACCCCAGACATATCTCTAGTTCCAAGGAAACATGTCCCTGCCAGGTTCACTTGGGGACAGCTTGACCTCTAGAAAAAGACTGACAGACTAGTGTTATGAATTTTTGTTTCACAAAATAGCTGGGGAAAAAAAGCCATCTTTTCTTTAAAACAGTGATTAAGTAACCCTATCTCCTTCCTCCTAACAGCCTATTGAAAGAACATTTAAATAGGGGAAGGCAAAATTCTAATCCATTATATCATAATAATGACATATTGTTTGGCATGGGCAGAGAATTGTGCTGCAGTATAGTGATTAAAGCATCCATTTATAAAAACTATTTCAATTAGTGCATGAGTAAATATTTAAGTCAAAATTCAGCAGTGCTTAAGCATATGTTTAAATCACATAGAGTACACAATCAGTGTGGTGCACACGTTCTTGTCTACTGTTGAACATTCTGTAATACTTGGCATTAGTTTGTTTTAGTGGGTCAGAAACACAGAAGGAGATGAAGTGAACCTCAAAAGATGCAGTGCACAGTACATTGGCAGTTATCTTTTGGAAGTCACCTTTTCTTTTCTTTCCCCAAGTAAAAATCAAACTGGGATTCTAGATTCATAGGCGTGAAGGGAACGAGAGCACAGGCTTTCATCTTCTGGACCAGCAGCCAACTTCACTAGGATTTCCTTGCAAGAATGAACAATTACTTGGTCAGCAAGGACTTAACAGACATCATGTACTGCCCTGTACTTGGCTGAACTGGATCTTTGTGTTCATCTCGTTAAATGCAAAGCAGATTTTGGCTAAAAACAGGTTTAGAATGAATTCATATCACTTTGTACAAAGTTTCATGGGAGATGCCTCAGCACAACTCCCTGCACCCCTTGTGAGGAGCTGGACTCACATTTTCAGATGTGCTGCTCCTGCTGACAGCCAGTCAGTGCCAAACTGACTGTCAAGAACATTTCAGTGCAGATCCAGTGGAGATTCAGAGATCAGGTTTTATAAGGTTTTCATCTCCCTGCTGCCCTCCCTGAAGCAGCAATGCTCTCTTCAAAAGCAGGATTTGAGTGAGAGGTGCAGCCCTGCAGTAATTTACAAACAGCACAGCAATTTACAAACATATTTCATTACAGTTATCTATTTAGAAAAATTAAAGTAAAATGTTTACCCTCTTAATTGACCATAGGGAGCCAAATACTTTGTGAATGTAAATTATAACTGTGATTAAAATATAAGCTGCCCTTTCTCAATATTCATAGTGATGTCTGGTACAAGTAGAATTAACATAAATTCATATATTTTCTTATCTCTCCAAACCCATACTTTTATTCAAATGAAAAGTTTATTATTTATTATTCTCTTGGTGGGAGTTGGGGTTTATGCCTCTATAAAGAATCTAAGCTGTCATATTTTCTTTATCCCATATTTGCCAGGTTGCCTTGTGGTTCATTTATTTGTTAAATGTATTGATCTGTTCCAGCCATTATGCACTTCATAAACAGCTGTGGACTAATTGGTATTCATGTGTTGGGAGTATTTTCTTATAGTACTGAAGTGATACAGTGAAGTTTATCGCTAAATGATAGTTCAGTGCACTGTTTTTGAAGTTCAAATACAGAAAAAGACCAAGTTAAAAAATGTTGTAAGAAATATTAGGCTAATTTTTATAAAGGATTTTTTTTCTGTTCTCTGAAAATACAAGTAAAAGAACATGAGAGGAAAGCAACCAGTCATTCAAGAACTACATAATCCTGCCTCTATCAGCATGCATGCAAACAGCTGCACCCTTCTTGAACTCCCTGCAACTCCTCCAAACAGCTTAGAACAACTTCTATTCATAAATAACGCTTCCTACCTCACTTAAAACTCAACTCTAGCTTTTATCTCCTGCCCCTGGAAAGATGCTTAAAGCCAGTTCTGATTCTGAATAGATCCAGGCAGACCAAACTCACAGCCAAGACTCAGGTTCTCAACACGAGCAATCTCTTGTTACACTGGTTTTATGTAGAAGAGTTTTCAAGCAGCAGTTCAGCAGCCCTTGCCTAAGCCTGTGACTTTGACCAGCACAGGCAGCAAGATAAATGCTTGAATATTCTGAGAGTTCCAATTTATATTATTTTATGAATTTACTCCTTGCCTGGGGCCAGGCAGCATCACTGGCAGCAGGAGCTATCAGGGTCACTCTCACTTCAGTGAGGCCACATTATTCTGATCCTACCTTGTGCCCTGCTAAGCTGTTCATGAGACTGTCCAGCCTCAGCTCCTCTGCTACCAGAGGAGTTTTATTCCTCCTTACCCAAGGAACAAACACCACACCAATCCCCTCTAATGTGTTGGGTGCAGCCCTGTGTGGTGGCTCCTGGCAGCCCCAGCCTGTCCATTTGAGCAAAGGTAAATGCATTTGAAATGTCAGGAGGAAGTTCAGAGACTTCTTGAATCACTCCTGAGCAGCAAGGAGAGGGTTTCCATTAAGGGACAGGTCAGAATTCTTTCTGGGGTCAAGAGATGAGTTTCCTGAGTGCATCCAAGCTGGCTTTTGCTGTTACCCATAGAAAGTGGCAACACAGAACAGAGTCATAAATTGCCTGGTGGGCCTGTTGGCTGAGTTCAGTTTTACTCCTTCTCAGTTGAGGGGCTTTAGCTGGTACAAATCAGGATTGAAGGCTTTTGAGCAAATATTAAACATCAATAAGGTTCCTGGTGTATAAATAAACCTTGTAGCTACACAGGAAATATTATATCTTTGTTTATTTCTACTTAAAAGGCATCTTCACTAAAATTTGGGAATGAAAAACTGTCATCTTACTTGCTAACATGATAGATCATATAGTGATCCACTTGTATTGTGTACACTGTGAGACATAGATTAATGTTATTATTTAAATTATCATCACATACAACATCTTTAATCAAAGATTAACATTACATTGTGGTTTTGCCGCACGTGCACAGGAAAAAATTCTCTCTGTTCTACAAATGGTACAAAAACCATAGAAAAACAAAGGGAAAAAGTTAAGAGTGATGCATTTATTTTTACATTTACATTTATTTTTATATTTATTTTAAAATCAGTTATACATAAGATTTTGATCATAAAAATAAAATATTAACATATTATCTGTCATCTTTTTTGTTTTTTCCTTCAGCTTCAAAACAGAGCTCATTAGAGAGGTTCACCTTATTTTGTACTTGGGCTCCAGTCAGTACCACTTCCAACATGATGTCTGACATGTCCTTTACTACAAGAGAATCTTTCTACATCTGAGGGATTCCACAGAGATTTAAAACAAAAGCCAACAATCACACTCATATTACTTTAATTTTAGGCCTGTTTGCACCTTATTAAAACTGATGTAGTACCTGGAGTTTAAGAAAAGGTGAATGCTTTTGAAATCTGAGAGTTTACCTGATTTCTAGGCCCTGTTCTGAGCCCAGAGAGGAAAATATATTTCACCATTTTCTTAGGCTTGCAAGAAAATCACACAAAAACGGTGTCACCCTGTAGAACTAATTACTTCTCATCACCACTAATAGAAATGGGGATGTTGCTCCATGTGACAGGCCCTGCAACATAGAAGGAATAATTTCTGTTACTGTAAGAGAACTGAAACAAGGCACAAGTAGATTTTAGAGATAATAAACATGAAGAAAATCTTTGGTTTTGACCTACACAAGGTGTTCTGTTCCTAACCAATGCCAACACAATCATCTGATTCACAACTGACAAGAAGTTCTGCAGCTGAAATCCAACAACTGAAGGAACTTAGAGTCTCAAAAGTGTTGAGACACATAACTCCCTCAGGAATCAAGGCACTGGAACACTTGCAGGGGTGATGGCCTTGTCACCTCCCAGTAAGAGAAAGGCTCATAAGGCTGTGACAGGTTAAGTATAACCAGAAGTTGCAGGAACTGCAGTCAGGTAATAATAACTGCTGTTTTGTGGGGGTGTGTTGGTGTTCCTCACACCTTTGCTCCCAGATCTGCTCCAGTGGGGAGTTTCAATAATCAGTGTGCTCCCACTAAGGCTGCATTAGCCAAAGGCATCTTGCAGCTGGATCTTGGGTTCTGGGCTCATTCCAGAGCATTAATGTGTTCTGGGTGTCTCATCAATCAGAAGGGCAAGAGCCCCACTTCTACACACTATAAAAACTTAGCAATCAAGGCTGCAGGAAGGTCTGCAGTGGCACTCCATGAATTTCCAGATGTGCCCATGCCGTTCACCAGGGTTTTTCCTGTGCTTTGCATGCCTGAGATTTGTCTGGTATGACTTTAGAAACTCATCCATTCCTTCATTTAGGGAGGACCTAATTTATCTTTGTGCTTCTCCTGCACCTTGAGTCAGAAGACAGACACATCCATAATGCATGGCTTTGTGATGTGTGCTCCATGACAGCTGCAATCTGTGAAGCACACACCAAAACTCCTTGAGAAAAGCTCTTGCTGCGAGCTGAGGCCAGCCACACGTAACACTTCTCCTTCACAGCACACTTTACAGTGCTGAGGGTACTGTTTTCTACCCTCCATCTCAAAGCATTCACTGCTGGAAAACTCTTCAGCATCTGCATATTGGGCAATGATATAAGCACACATCTGTCTCCAGTTACTTGTGTCTCTGAAACAACATATTTGATTTAGAAATACACTTAAGCAAGGGAGATTTGGAAAATTGCATATCATCTTCAGGGTCAGTGAAAAATTTAACTGGCAACTACATTACAGATACATTTAATCCATTAGTCTGTCTCATGTAACTGAGATTAATAAATGCAAGGCTTAGATTTGTTCCTTCAGTATCCAGCAGAACGTGTTTCTGAGGAGTCATCTTGCCTTCCTGATTGCTCTCATTACAGGCCCAGGGAAGAGCACAAGCCACTTTCAAAAATGTACCCACTTCCTGAGGCTGCTCTCAGACGAGCCAGAGCAGCAATCCTCTTGTGTTAGCAAGCTGGGGCTCTCCTGGAATGTGGATTTCCAGCTGGCTTGGGAACACACTCCATCCAACCCCTTTTGTCCTGCCCCAAAGGCATTTCCACATGGGAACAGAGCTGCCCACCCACCATGCATGGATCCATGCACTCATGGGATCATTTCAGGTGAATGATCTGCCTTCTTCACCAGCCCCATGTCCCTTTCCAGGCTGCCTGGAGGTTACAGCTGTTTAAAACCCTGAGCAGGGTATTTTTCCCAGCAGATCACAATGGCTGAAATCAATGGGAGATTTTACAACAATGCAGTAATGGTCCATATAAAGAGGCCCAGGCTGGAAAATTTCTAGTGAAGGCCTTTGCCTGAGGATTTCTGTACCTCTGGCTTAAAAAAAAAAGAGGGGGGAAAAGGTTTCATATTTTTTCAATGGCTCAGTGTAAAATGTTCCTCTTAATTTGCACATTCCTCACATTCAGTGGCCATGGAATTTATGAATATTGTCACTCACGCAGGCAAATGCTGTAAATAACCCACCTAAGAATGCGACTTTAAAAAAGGAGGGATGTGAAGCCCTTTTGGGTAGAAGAGATGTCCTTCTGGATTATGCATGTGACACTCCAGTGTTAAAATTAGGGACCATTCGAACTACATTTCTCTCAGATCTTTCTCCCTCTCTTTGCCAAGGCTTTCAGAGAGGGTTTTATTTTTTTTCTTTATGATACCCTGAGGAAATACCTCTCATGTTGGGTCAGCATCTTGAGCTGTCTACAGCATTTCCAAGACTAGCTTCCGAGGTTTTGCCCTCTGAGAAAATCAGTAAAGAGGAAGGCATGATGTGATCATACATTAGCTGGCCACAATCTCCCTCTATGGCTGCTCTTAATGCACTCAGTGGCTCCAGTGGAGCTGCCCTTCCTGAGCAACAGGAAAAGCCACTGCTCTGTGAGTGGTGCACTACAGCCTAGCTCCCCTGAACAAATTAATGCAGTTATTGTATTAATTTAAAATTTCAGTCCCTCAGAACCATAGTTCCCTTTCCACAATTTCCCCTGAATGTTTCTCTGTTGCCAATGGCCTCAGATGGGAAGAGGTTTCCACCCCGGTCCCCTCTAGTCCTTCAAGGTGTGTGAACAGCCCATGTCATTCCCAGATTTTGGTGTATCCATTCCATGCAGAGGTATAAGATAGGTTCTGGTTCATTCCTTTTCCCTTGGCCAGGATAAAGTCTGACCCACAGCACTGCTGTTAGTTTTAGAAAACTAACACAGGTGATATTTTCTCACCTTCTTTCACTAATATTTTGTTAGAGAGATCTCCAGAGTACTGTTTGTAATGACTCCCCTCAACAGATGAGCCCAGGACTTGGTAATCACCACTGAGTGATTAGACCTGTGGAAGAAATTAAAACTAAACCAAACAAGCATTTTCCATGGTGCATCTCACCCACTAAGCAGCCCTGCACAGGGATGGAAAATTTCCTTCCCAATGTCCACAAATGATCAGTTCCTGCCTTGGAGCACTGAGCTGGATTCGATTACACTGAAATCATTATTTCAGTTCATGTAACTCCAGACTACTAGTGATACCCAATGACTCTGGCACGCTGGGAATTCAATCAAATGTTTATACTAAGGGGGACTATTTACTCCAGCCCCTAGAGGTACCACTTTAAAAAAATCCCCTGAATATCGCTGAAATTAATATTAAGACTTTATACCCTCATGTATTTTTTGAGGATTTATATATGTTGAGATATCATTTTTCCTACCACTTATCCTCTTACATACTCCCACAATATCTCATCTGTGGCATTTTCCCAGATGGGGCCCACAGCAACGTTCTTGTAGCTTTTGGCTCACTTAACACTCCCGCTTAACAAAATCCTTGATTTGACGAGGTCTTCTCTGCTGCAACACCCATTCCTACAGACCCCCAGGCTCTGTGTGTTGGGAACTTACCTCTGTGTTTGCTGCATGGCATCCTCTGTGCACTGCACACCCCAGAAGTGGCCATGGATTGCATTCTCCTCCGTCCCGCGGTCTCCTAAGGAAAAGGAAGCTCTGGGAGCGCCCACGCAAGGCACTGCCAGAGAAACAGCAGAAATTTGGCATTCTGCATCTGTGTAGGCAACAAGACAAAGTGAAAGGCGGCAGATAACTGAGCTCTTTATTGCTTCTCGACCATAATTTTCCTGTTTTCAAAATGGATCGTTCCAAATGGAACGGCGGGGCTGACAGCCTGCGCACTGGCTTCCATGGGCTCTGCCTCACATTTCTATTTCTGGGTGTGAAGACCTAATTTTCAGAGGCAGATTATTTTTGAAACTGAGCCTATACCCCTTTCACTGCTCTTGATTTACATGTGATTTGTCAAACAATTAAAATGTGCATATTGTCATCACAAGGCCAAAACATCTCTTCATCTCTTCTTCATTTTCATTTCCCCACAGCACGGTTTTCAACAAGTGAACTTGGCACTGAACAGAGCCTCCTTGCCACTCCTCCCTGAATGGGGCTTCAGTCACCCTGCAAATGTTCACATGGCATTTCATCTGATTTCATCTTTGTGTATTCAAGCACACACTCACATTTTCTTCTCCCATTTTTTTCCTCCCATCATGAGTTACTTTTATTCCTTTACAAGCCCCTTAATTTGTACAGAGTCTTCTACCTAAACCATTCTCATATTGGCCTTTGAATTGAGCACTTGTGCTGTAGTCTGTGACGTACAGATTTTTTACAGATATCTCTCAAATTCTCAGTATTTCTTAAATTTCTGAAGTCAGCAAACAGGGCAAAACACCTGCCAATTATTTCCCTGAACTAAGCCAGCTTTTCTAAGTCAATCGGTGTGTTCCCATCCAGATATTTAATCATCCTCTGCTTCTCTCAACCTGCCAATTCATGCTGCACTTCTGGCAGACCAAACTGATATTTAGATACTATTGAGCACCAATTCACAGGATTGTTTGCACACAGGTGTGCCATGAGGTTCCCATCACTTGCTGCAAACATGTCAGGAACCCAAGCCACACATTTTATCCAGAACATTTGCACAGTGGAGATAACAATTCTGCCACTTTCCCAGGAGGGACTACAAAAGATGGACACAATGGGAAGATTCGTAATTTTTGTACTGTCACAGACACCATAAACTCTGTCCCATACAGCTATTTTAAACTGTGCTTTTAAGAAAAATGAAAAAGTGTGATGAAAGATTGGGCACTAGGAGAATTTTAGAGAATCACAGCTAAAATTTTAGTGAATCACAAATAATTTTCTTCATATTAGACAATGTTCCTTTTACACTGTATCCAACTGATTTTTCTAGGAAATGTCAACATACAAGTGATTGCCATGTGTTCCCTGAAAATTGATACTATACTTAGGAACATAAGAATTTAAAAAAAAATCCGCTAATTAATGAAGATTTTCCACTGCCAGTTACTACAGCTGAGTTCTTCACCTACAAAAATCTTCTAGGTTTCTTTATTTTTAAAAATCTATTAATAATGATCCTAAATAGTATCATAATTTTGTGGTGTAAGTAAACTAGACTTTCTCAGATGTGCAAAGCAGTTTGGTCCCAGACGTTATCTCAAAGGAAACAGAATTTCATGCAGTTTGTTCAAGACAAAGCTGGCTTCTCCTTCCTGAAAATTTTTCTGCAAGTCTATCTTCCATCTGTGCCTTGGCTTTGTCCTACAAATCATAGCAGCACAAGGCACTGATCTTCAAAATGTCAATGTTTTCTTATTTAGATGCTACACATCTAATAAATAGCCCTTCCCTGTCCTTCAGTGATACCATGTGCAGTTTCAGCACAGAAGGATCTCAGAGGACATTATCTAAACAGTGGCCTATCACTGCAGCCACTTGCTGATGTGTTTTTGGTGTTTACAGAATACTTCACTCAACATCTAGCTCAGATTTCCTTCCTTAGGAGGTGAACACACTGCCTAGGAGTCACAGCCAAGGTCACAGCTGCAAGTGAGCATCCTGCTCAGAGAATGTCCCAGCAGATCTACAGTACAGCCTGTGCAGCTCACACATTGACAGAATTCAGGCTATGCCCATTTTTAAATTTTATTAAAAATTACTGAGAAAACACTTGCCCAGGCATTGCCTTCCAAATATGGGTGGTTTTAGTTACTGGCAAAGATGTATAATCATTATCTGTCCCTGGCTACAGCGGGATTTGCTTACCCACTAAAAGATGTTTTGGATCCTGCATTTCCACTGTGAGGTGAGCTCTTCCCAGGTCAGGCTGGTGTGGGAAGGTCAAATCCCTGGAGTACATAACCAGAGCACATGCAAACAGGCTCCCAGTCACCTCCATGGCTATTTGCACAAAGAAAAATCCCCCCATGGACAAGCAAAGCAATTTGAAATATGTGCCGGGATATTTGTGTCCATCTTCTACATAAGGACAGAGCACCATTCTTATAACTGGAGTACAGCTCCACAAAAATGACCCTGGCTCCTTGCCATACCATTGTGTTCCAAAGATCTCCACTGAAAATTAAGTTTATGCCTTTGGTTATTGCATGGCCACAGCTGAGATGACGCAGCTGCCTCTCCAACTTCTCCATTAGGTTATTCTGCACACTCATCCTCATGGCCTCTACCTTTTGGGGTACCCTGTGCCAAACTGCACTGCTTACCACTAAGGAAACATCAACAGCCTCATGCACTGATACTGCCTAACGTGTCTTTGTCAAACACTTAATGAAGCACATATTGGGTCTGCTGATCTGACTGTCAATTTATTCTGAATAAATCCACATGCCAAAGGATTTAGGTGCCAAAAGCTGGAAGAGCTTTCAAGATGATTTTTTTTTTAGCCCTGACCATGATAGCTGCACAGCAATATGCCATCTGAAGCAGGAGATGTTTGAAAACTTGGAATACCAGGTAGTTCAAAATCACAAATTTCTGTGGCTTCCTCTGAAAAATGACTCTTTGGCTCTACCCCAACAAGCAGAAATGACAAGCCTACGAGATCCCTTTTTATACTACAGAGCAGAGGTATTAATTTCATGTTGTAAGCATAACCTGTGACCAGCCTGGGAAAGTGGCAATTATATTATTTTGTTTGGGTTTGTTTTGCTTCTGTGCCTGTTCTGCACAGCCCACATGCAGCTGAACTAGCAAAGCTTAAGAGAGAGTAAGAGCCCCAAAATGAACGTCACAAAGGAGAAAAGGTTGTGTTCCACTGCTAGCAGATCTATTTTAGGACCTGCCCACTCCACTCCTGATGTTGCACTCTTGTAGCTCCCTGGTTATGTGGCGCACCAAGCCTGTCTCCCTGACCCTGCCCCGACTGAAGGTGATGGGGAGAGGGCAGGGAAGGGCAGGAGTGAACAAAGCCTGCAGGAACGTGGGAGGCCAGGCTTTCTTGAAACAGCAATGGAAAGATAAACTAATTACCGAGTGTGAAATTGATAAACGATAAAGCAGCCATCGTTTAACAGCCCTGGTGTTGAGCACACATGTTCTGCATCCATGTATGAAGTGCTGCTGCTGGGCTTTCCACTGCTGCTCCTGCCTTCTCCTTTCTGCCCTGAGCAAGGGCAAGGCATTTATCCCAGCTCCTGGCCTTTCCTTCCTCATTGATTGAGGGAAGCAAGGTCAGCCACCCCAATCCGGCCTTTAACGCAGAGCTGCCCATCACTCAGAGCCTCCAGAACCAGAGGACAAAAGTTATTTAAAGTCTTCCCTGAAACAGTTAGGAGGGAATTTGCATATGGGAGGATTTGGGATGAAATTAGGATCTCCAAGCACCATAAATGATCAGTGGGCTTTGGCCCAGCCGGGTGGATGAAAGTTCTCCCTTTACACTGCATCCTGCTTGGCTTTGGAGCCCCTGAACAGAGTGGGCTGCAAGACATCTTCACAAAGTGAACACCAGAGGAGCTAATATTACCTGAATTAAGCTCTGCACAATAGAGGAATCCTTCTAAAAATAATAAATATCCAAGCCAGCTCCATGTTTAACACTGTCCCATGGTTATTCCAAATCTTTGTTAAAGTACTTCAGGGAAAAAACAGCACCTCTGTAGCACTTAGGGATGGCCATCAGAATGACCCTGATAACCCAGACTCATAAATACATGGAAGTAGTAACCATGCAAAATAAAAAGCTTGCAAACTATTGTAAACAAACGAAAAAATGTCCAGAAGGGAGAGACTCAATTATAGGACAAACCTGTCAAGGTTTCATTAAAAGACTGATTTAAAGTGAAAAAAAAACAAGAAAACTCCAAAGTTGGGCCAAAACATCATCCTTCACTTATCCTCTGGTACCTGCACACCAGAGCTAATAGTGCCTTCTCTGAGCAGTGGGTGACCTTCTGTACCAAGTGTGCTGCAATAACTAAATACAGCAGGGGTGAATTGAAGATGACATTTCAGCCTTTAACTGAATTTCCTACATTTCTTCGATTTACGCCAGACCCTTACATTATTTCCACTTATCTTTCCTCTGATGGCATACAAACCAGGGGTTCAGAAAGTGGCACTCACAAACAGGGGCACATACACACACCAAGCAATTATTGCATTGCAAAATTATCTGCACAATCTGTCATTAAATATTTGTCTTCAGAAAGACCTGCAGGAGCTGCTCTTTTCCACACACAACCCCTCTGCAGCCCTTGACCAAGGAATCCTGGAAGCAAACATCCAGCCAAAACACCTGAATTTGACTCATGCTGCACTATTAAAATGAGTCAATAATTTCATCAATCCAGCAAGAAATTGCAAGTCACTTCATTTATAAACAGGCCTTTGAGGGATTTTTTTTTTTCCAGTAACAAAAGGGAAAACAGAAAGACTTCCTTTACAGATAAATGCTGCAGGGGGAAAAAAAAGACAATTTTTACAGAAATCATTCAGCACTGCTAGCCTGTTGGTACAGTGTACACCTTGGCTGCATATCAGCTGTTATTGGATAGCAGAAGCTGTATCCATCTGTAACTTTCATTAAAATAGAATGCCACTGCATAATTATATCTGGATTTTTTAATTCTTTTTTTTCTCTTTTTTTTCTTTTTTTTTTCTTTTTTTTTTTTGCATAGTATACCAGTAAATCTTTATTTCTCTGTTGGAACACATGCAAAACACACACAATATCTGAAATCTGCATTTACAGCCAAAAAATGGGTGCACAGCATCAAAGCATAGCATAGAAATTGAGCATG